GTGCACACCCCAATTTCCAAGAGAATGGAGAAGAAGGGAATACAGTAGAGCCATCCCCCGGGGAGTGATTTTGTCTCACTTTCCCCCTTTCCCTCTCTCTTTCTGGCTCTCTGGTGAGCACACACGCCCAGTGGCAAGCTAAAAAATAAAACATAAAGGGACAGCTACTGGTTCACATCAATGGAAAATCAAGTGGATTCTGGGTGCAGCTACTAAAATAGTGACGTTGGAAGTCATCTCGTCCCCTCTTTTCCTGTCTCAATTTCTTTCTCTTTGGCGTCCCCTCCCCCAGGCATGTCTCCACATAGCGCCCCCGGGAGCTCTCGGCTTGCATTACACGGAGAGTTGAAGAAGCTTGGAGTCATCAGCACCTCCCCTTTTCCTCTGATCCCCACATGATGTGCCCTAGGACTCGCCTGTCACAGCATACTCAGAGCCTGCGGTCCCCACCCTGGCCTTAGCCGCCAAGGCCGCTCTCCTAGAGCATTCCAGTAGCTTCCTACCAGGTTCTCTGCTCCCCCCTGCCCAGTTTGCTCCTTCCCCAGTGTGTTCTCAACACAGAAACCAGGAATCTGCTTGTTTTTTAAAAATTATTGGAGGGCGTATGTGCTCTGGAGCCCAGGGAAGGACAAAACACCCCCCAGAAGGGCATGATAACGCCGCAATCCCTTCTCCTCCATTTCTCCATCCTATCAGGATTTGGGGCACCCACGCACATGCACCCAGTGTGTTTTTTCAATCTGTTAAGGTCAAGACTTGAACTGTGGTTGGTCTTGGGGGACCTGGCTTCCTTAACCACTAGGCTATGAGGCTGGCCCCAGAAATCCGTTTTAAAATGGAAATCAGATCGTGCCACTTCTCCAGTTCAAAAGCCTTTCACCTTCTAAGAATCAAAGATAGGTCCCTGCAACCACCGGTAAGGCCTGACATAACCTTCCTCACCTCCGACCTTTTTGATCTTTGTTTGTTTGTTTGTTTAGGTTTTTGCTTTCTCTGTAGAGAGACAGAAAGAGAGAAAGTCAATCATGCTCCAGGCCACACTGAAGTCCCTTCTCCGCCATGCTTCTCTCGGGATTTCGGGCACACACATACCTCTAGCTGCCGGCTCTCAGGCTCGAACCACGGTCAGCCATGTGGGAGTTTAGCATCTTACCCACCACACCACCTGCTGCCCCCACCTCCACCTTCTTACCTCTGCCCTTTTCTCTTACTACTATTGTCCTCTAGCCACACTGACTTCTTTGCTGTTCCTCAAACATGCAGGGCACAGGGCCTTTGCCTAATCGTTCCATCCGCCTGGAATGTTCTTTCCCCAGATACGCCTATGGTTTATCCCCGCCCACCTCAAGTCTTAACTGAAACAGGGTCTACCTTGAGCACCCTATTTAAAATGACTGGTCAAGAGGTGACACTAATGCTAATGAGAAGTTACCAACCACATAAAGGCCTTAGGGCAAAGTATTCCAGGCAGAAGGAACAGCAAATGTAAAGGCCCCGAGGTGGGAAATCACTTGCTGTATTTGAGGGATGGTGAGGGTAGTGTGTCTGGAACTTAGGGAGATAGCTGGCGTGGAGGCTCAGGGAGGACAGTAGATGGAACCAGCAGTTAGCGTAATGGCTATGTCGCTGGACTCCCACATAGTCGACTGCGGTTCGAGTCGCGGACCCAGTGGCTTAAACTCACGCCGGGCGCGTGTGCGTGCATGCCCAAGATCCAGAGAGGAGAATGGAGGAGAAGGGATTGCGGTGTGGCCATCCCCATCGGAGGGTGATTTCTCGCTTTCTGTCTCTCTGTCTCTGTCTGTCTGGCTGGCGAGTGCACATGCTCTGTAGCAAAAACCTCTCCAAAAAAAGAAAAAAAAAAAGGGAGGACAGTAGAGGACGTTGACCAGGTCGGGGAGTGGCAGGAGTGAATTGATGTAGATGATAAAGAAGTCTGAACTTGGGGCCAGCAGGTGGTGTGCGGTTAAAGGCACTGGATTCCCACATGACCGACCGTGGTTAAAGTCCCAGACCTGGCAGCTTGCTTTCTCACTTTCCCTTTCTCTCTCTGGTCAAATTTAAAATTAATGGGGACCAGCAGTTGGCATAATGGCTATGTCGCTGGACTCCCATGTAGTCGACTGTGGTTTGAGTCCCAGGCCCGGTGGCTTAAACTCACACCAGGCACGTGTGCATGCGTGCACAAGATCCTAAGAGGAGAATGGAGAAGGGATTGCAGTGTGGCCATCCCCCCGGGGGGTAATTTCTCGCTTTCTGTCTCTCTGTCTCTCTCTATCTTGCTGGCAAGCACATATGCAATATAACAAAAACCTCTCCAAAAAAGAAAATGAAAAGAAAACAAATTTAAAATAATTATAACAAAAGAAATTAAATAAATGAATAAATAATTCTTTAAAAAAAATAAGAGATTCTACCAAGCTTCTCAAGAATAGGTAGATCATGGGACCAGCATTTAGCATAATGGATATGTCGCTGGACCCCCACGTAGTTGACCGCAGTTCGAGTCCTGGACCCGGTGGCTTAAACTCACGCCAGGCATGTGTGCGTGCATGCCCAAGATCCCGAGAGGAGAATGGAGGAGAAGGGATTGTGGCATGACCATCCCCCCTGGGGGGTGATTTCTTGCTTTCTTGTCTCTCTGTCTCTCTCTGTCTGGCGAGCACACACGCCCTATAGCAAAAAAACCTCTCCAAAAAAAAAAAAAAAAAGAATAGGTAGATCATCAAAAAGTTTGAACTTTAATTCTAAATGCAGTGTTCAGAACACTTTTGGAAGTTCCTGATCAGGAAGGTGACATGGTCTTAAAAAGTTTGCCCTGGGGGCCACAGGTGGTGTGGTGGTTAACATGCTGGATACCCACATGGCTGACCATGGTTTGAGTTCTAGACTTGATGGCTTGCTCTCTCTTTCTCTCTCTTGCTCTCGCTCTGGTGAGCATACATGCCCTATGGCAAATTAAAAATAGAGAGATTACCCTGACTCCTGTATAAATAACTGATTGTAAGTTTCAGAACTGAAAGGACTGGAAGGGAACTGTTACTATAATCCAGGAAAGAGTTGCTGACTTGGGCAATGTGGTACCAGGAGAGGAGTGGAGAGATGCTCAGAGTCTAGATGTGTTTTAACAGTAGGGACTGGCCGATGGGGTGGATGTTGGGTGGGTGAGACAGAGGAATCAAGATGACCCCAAGGTTCTTGGCTTCAGCAACTGGATGGATGGTGGTGGCAACTTTTTTCAAACAATTTTCTGTAGGGCTCATGAGCTCACCAGAGGGAAACAGAAAAAGTGAGAAAGTGAGAAAGTATCCCCCAGAGGGGATGGCCACACTGCTATCTTCTGTCCCATGCTCCTCTCTGGGTTTTGGGCATGCATGCACATGTGCCCTGCCTGCTTTTCAGGTCAACCAGGACGAATCACTCCTTTCCTTCAGCCAGGTGTGACCATCTTGAGGGATTAGGGCCAAGGGGTGTGTAGCTGTGGGTAGGGGCGGCCTCTTCCCTCCATCACCAGCTGGCTCCCCAGTCCTGCCTCTGGTTTATGAGATCAGCGGTCGGGAAAGGGAGGGCGCATATACTGACCCCCGCTTGCCTTTCGTCTCACTTTCACGCCAGCGTGGGGTGACGGTAGAATCCGAGCCTTCGCCCCGGAGACCGGCCGCCTGATGTACGTCATTAACAGCGCTCACAGGATCGGCGTGACGGCCATCGCCACCACCAGCGACTGTAAAAGGATCATCAGTGGCGGCGGGGAAGGGGAGGTATTGTTCTTGAAAGCAGAATCAATCGTTATCACAGTTAGCCTGGGATTTAGAGCCAAGGCCTCAGAGGAGGCCGTCTTTTATTTTTTAAAAAAATAAGACCTTGGGGAACCAGCAGTTATTATAATGGCTATGTCGCTGGACTCCCACGTAGTCGACCGCAGTTTGCATCCCGGACCCGGTGGCTTAGAACTCACGCCGGGCGCATGTGCGTGTGTGCCCAAGATCCCGAGAGGAGAATGGAGGAGAAGGGATTGCGGCGTGACCATCTTCCGGGGTGGGGGTGGGGGGGGGGGTTATCATTTTCTGTCTCTATGTCTCTCTCTGTCTGTCTGGCAAGCGCACACGTCCTATAGCAAAAACCTCTCCAAAAAAAAAAGAAAAAAGAATAAGACCTTGAATTAGGATTCAAGGGGGATGCATTTGGGATTTTGATGAAACCTTAAAATACATCATAAATTAAAGTTCATCAATTTTAAATATACATATAAATACTTTGTTCGTGGGAGGAACATTTAAGATACCGACATGATAGGGCTGGTAGGTATTGTGGTGGTTAAGGGTGCTGGATTCCCTCATGGCTGACTGCAGTTCAAGTCCCAGACCTGGTGGCTTACTTTATCACTTTTCCTCCCTCCCTCTCTCTTACTCTGTCCCTCTCTGGTCAAATTAAAATAAATAAATAAATAATAAAATTCGATAAAAGAATTCTTTAAAAATAAAGATAGGGACATGAAAGTGTTAACAGAACTGTAAATCCAAGTTGGTGTTTTGCCAGCGCTTAGGCAAACGGGTTCTCTTCCTCCCAGGACCATGGTTTATAAATTGTCTTTATCTTATCTTTCAAAGCAGATAATATTTTTAGAATCAAAATGCACCACAATAAAAATAATTTTTTATTATTTAAAAATTATGACACTCCACCTTTTCCTTCCATCACTCCGCAGAGCCGAAAACACCTTTCACTTCCACATTTATCTTGTGGCGCCTCCCCTCCCTTATACCCTACTTTTTCCCAATCCCAAAGCCTTCCCTTTCTCCATATAAGACATTTTCCTTTGCCTTCTTTCTCAGCTGTGTCACTTGCCAGGAAGAAGGGAATGTAGCTCCTGGACAGGTAGCCGTTAGTAGAACTCAGGCAATGCAGGTAGAAGCCTGGCTCCAGATTGCCTTCTACCACTTTGAGCTGTGTGACGTGGGGTGCGTGCCTTAACCTCTCTGCGCTTCAGTTTCCATTTAAAGTATAGTATTCCTATTACCGAGACGATTTGTTTGTCTTTATTTCGCTAAGTCTTCCAGGCCTGGTGTGTGCATTTTACATTCAAGGCACCTCTCCCTGAGCACCAGCTGTGTGTCAAGCAAGTGCGTTGTAACCACAGCCTCGGGCCATCGCCCTCGGCCTCGTCGCTCTCCTGGCTGCAGTTCCTTGCTTGATCACTTCAGCCGCTTTTCCGTTGACACCCTCAGTACCCAAGCATGCTCCTTCATCCTTTTGGGTCATCTGTCTTGCTGATGCCCAGACTTGGAGCCTGAGCCCAAGCTGTTGAGAGTGGAGGGAGGAGGGGACGTCACTGTCTCACTGCGCTTGGTCCTGCTCAGCTCTCCACAGTCCCCCGTCCACTCCTCCTCCTCTTTTTTCCTCACTCAGCTGTTATCCACCTTTCCTTTCAAAACGCATAGTCTTCAAGGCCTTTGATACACTGGAGACCAGGGCTGCTGCTCGGCAGGTGAGCACTGATACGAAGTCAGTCATTGCTGCCGTACTCGGGTACTTTCGTTCCCAGGGGAAGATGGCTATTGCCTGAATGCCCCACCTGTGAAGACTCCCAACCCTATCACCCTCCCCTCCCCATCAAGTGCACCCCAAACTCCAATCCCACAACCAAAGGGTTAATGCTTGGCTCGTCCAGAGCACTTCCAAGACTCTGACTCCAGCCCTGTGGCTGCCTGGCCGGTGTCTTTGGTACTAGTTAGACAGCTGACTTTTAGCCCTGCTAAGAACTGAATGTGCGCCTACGCATGTGCTGGTTTTGTTTTGTTTTGTTTTTCAGAGAGATTTTTACTAGAGGGTGCGTGCACTAGCTGGAAAGCCAGAGAGACAGAAAGCGAGAAATCATCCCCCGGGGGGATGGCCATGCCGCAATCCCTTCTCTGCTGTTCTCCTCTCAGGATGTTGGACATGCACACACATGCGTCTAGTGTGAGTTTTAAGCTGCTGGATCCAAGACTCAAACTGTGGCTGACTACGTGAGAGTCCAGTGACATAACTGTTACACCATCCGCTGGTCCCGACGTGGTGGGCTTTTGAAATAGCACATTCGTTTTCTCTGACACTGGTCGTTATCCCGCCCCATGTCATAACACGCAGAGGTATTTGAATGTCATGGCAATGACCATGGCCCAGTTCATTTGGGATAGCCTCATGCTTCCTCACTGTCTTTACCTTGACAGTACAGAATGTGTCTTAGGAGATTTTCTTTCTTCATTTAATGTGATTTTCCTCTTAGTAGGTACAAATAGTCCAGTCCATTATCACCCGCCCTGAAGCTAATTTCCAATCTAGTGTTCACTCGGCCCACTGTTCTCCTTGCCCTGGAATGCTTCCATGGAATGGTTTCTGCTATTCTTATTTTTCATAAATCTAACATATTCATCATGAGAAGGCATAGGCATCTGTTTATATTACTGTATATTATTGTAATTTTGTCAGAGGACATGTGTGCTTGCCAGAGAGATACGGGGGTGGGGGTGAGAAAGCACCCCGATAGGGGGTGGTCGTGCCACAATCCCTTTCCCCCATTTCTTCCTCTTCTAGGGATTCTGAGCAAACACACCCACATGTTTCTCAAGCCACCGAGTCCAGGACTTGAACTGCACAGTGGGCTGGGTGGGATCCAGCCACCTTAGCCACCACCCCATGGGCTGGGCTTACATTGCTGTGTTTTCTTGTGTAATTGTGGTAGAGCCTTTATCCATTCCAGGACATCTAAAGGATCTTTTAAAAGTTCATGGCAAGTGACGTGGTGATTAAGGGTGCTGGTCTCCCACACGGCCGACCACAGCTGGAGTCATGGACCAGGCGGCTTGCTTTCTCACTTTCTCTCTCTCTCTAACTCTGTCTCTCTCAAAATAAAATAAAAAATAAATAAATAAAATCATTCTTTAAAAAAAATGGTATAAATGCCATTCCTGAAAAATACCTTGTTTTCTATCATGTATTTGTGCTAATTACTATGTTATTAAAATGTGTTTATAAACTGAAATAATCTATGCAGAGAGAATAGATGAAATGATTAGAGTATTTCTCACATTTTAAGTTTTGGAGAAAATCCTACTTTAATATAAATATATATCAACACTGGGACCAGCAGATGGCATAAAGGTTGCATCCCTGGACTCCTACATGGTGAAACTGCAGTCTGAGTCCTGGACCCAGTGGCTTAAAACCCACACCGGGCGTGAGTGTGTGCACATGCCCAAGATCCCAAAAGGAGAACAGAGGAGAATGGATTCATCATGGCCATAACCCTAGGGAGTGATTTCTCGCTTTCTGTCTCTCTGTCCGGTGAGCACATGCACCCTATAGCAAAAATCTGTCATAAATAAATAAATAAATAACACTTAATTTAGCCCTGCTAAGAACTGAATGTGCGCCTACGCATGTGCTGGTTTTGTTTTGTTTTGTTTTTCAGAGAGATTTTTACTAGAGGGTGCGTGCACTAGCTGGAAAGCCAGAGAGACAGAAAGCGAGAAATCATCCCCCGGGGGGATGGCCATGCCGCAATCCCTTCTCTGCTGTTCTCCTCTCAGGATGTTGGACATGCACACACATGCGTCTAGTGTGAGTTTTAAGCTGCTGGATCCAAGACTCAAACTGTGGCTGACTACGTGAGAGTCCAGTGACATAACTGTTACACCATCCGCTGGTCCCGACGTGGTGGGCTTTTGAAATAGCACATTCGTTTTCTCTGACACTGGTCGTTATCCCGCCCCATGTCATAACACGCAGAGGTATTTGAATGTCATGGCAATGACCATGGCCCAGTTCATTTGGGATAGCCTCATGCTTCCTCACTGTCTTTACCTTGACAGTACAGAATGTGTCTTAGGAGATTTTCTTTCTTCATTTAATGTGATTTTCCTCTTAGTAGGTACAAATAGTCCAGTCCATTATCACCCGCCCTGAAGCTAATTTCCAATCTAGTGTTCACTCGGCCCACTGTTCTCCTTGCCCTGGAATGCTTCCATGGAATGGTTTCTGCTATTCTTATTTTTCATAAATCTAACATATTCATCATGAGAAGGCATAGGCATCTGTTTACATTACTATATATTATTGTAATTTTGTCAGAGGACATGTGTGCTTGCCAGAAAGATACGGGGGTGGGGTGGTCATGCCACAGTTGTCAGAGGACATGTGTGCTTGCCAGAGAGATACGGGGGTGGGGGTGAGAAAGCACCCCGATAGGGGGTGGTCGTGCCACAATCCCTTTCCCCCATTTCTTCCTCTTCTAGGGATTCTGAACAAACACACCCACATGTTTCTCAAGCCACCGAGTCCAGGACTTGAACTGCACAGTGGGCTGGGTGGGATCCAGCCACCTTAGCCACCACCCCATGGGCTGGGCTTACATTGCTGTGTTTTCTTGTGTAATTGTGGTAGAGCCTTTATCCATTCCAGGACATCTAAAGGATCTTTTAAAAGTTCATGGCAAGTGACGTGGTGATTAAGGGTGCTGGTCTCCCACACGGCCAACCACAGTTCAAGTCCCGGACCTGGCGGCTTGCTTTCTCACTTTCCCTCCTCTCTCTCTTGCTCTGCCCCTCTCTGGTCTAAATAAACAAACAAACAAACTAAAAAAAAAAGTTCATGGAAGGGGTCAGCAAGTGGTATGGTGGTTAAGGTGCTGGACTCCCATATGGCTCACTGCAGTGTGAGTCTTGGACCTGGTAGCTTGCTTCCTCACTTTATCTCTCTCTCTGTCTCTCTCTGATAAGTGTATATGCCCTATAGCAAATTAAATAATAATAATAAATTAATAAAATTAAATGAATAGTTTTGCAGAAAAAGTTCATGGGAAATACATCATAGGCAAAACACTGTGCATAGCTTTTCAAATTTTTTTGCACCAAAATAAACTCATAGTTTAATTCCATTTTTCCATGAATGTTTTGAAGTTCCATCATACTATAATAACTAAGTAAGTTTCCTTTGGCCTAACCCTTTCAGTTAGGACATTATTTTGACTGTTTTCGGATTGTGTATACGTAGTTATGTTACCTCTGGATTTCATTATAGGATAATTAACAGTTATAAAGAAATATTTGTGATACAAAATAGGTGTTGGGTTCAGTATGATTGAGAACCAGAGTTTTTAAATGATTAAAACTGAAGAGCTGATGTGGGGCCAGCGAGTACTCATAGTTTTAAGACACTGGATTCCCACGTGGTTGACCGTGGGTTCAGGCCTGGACCCGGTGACTTCTAACTAACACCAGGCGCATGTGCATGCTCCAAATCCCAGAGGAGATGGAGAAGGGTTGGAGGCACGGCCACCCTCCTGGGGAGTAATTTCTTGCTTTCTGTCTCTCTGGTGAGTGCACTCTCCCTATAGCAAAAATAATACCAAAAAAAAAAAAAAAAAAACAAACCCAAAAAACAGAAGAGCTGATGTTTAAATATGACTCTGCGTACCCAAGAAATTTCCTGATGGCACCAGAAATTTGATAGCAGTGCTCTGCAGAAATGAGTAGACGTATTATTTCCCTTGGTTAGCAGTGGCTCTTGCGTTATTGATTTTCATGGCGGGTGTCTGATAAAGTTCTCAGCCTAAAAGCAGAAGCAGATGCAGGACCATTGGTAACATTTTCTAAGCTGTGTGAAAGATGATTACATCTTGTACTTGAATATTTCTGTCTTTCAATGTAGCATTCCCACCCCACCCAACTAGGATGAGAACAGGGAATTAAAAAGCAAACCAGGGCCAGCAGATGATATGGAGGTTAAGGTATCTGGATTCCCACATGGCCAACCAAGTGGTTCGAGTCCCAGACCTGGCAATTTGAAAATCATTCCAGGTGCATGTGTGTGCTCAAAATCTCAAGAGGAGACTGGAGGAGAAGGGATTGTGGCATATCATCCCCTCTGGGGAGTTATTTCTGACTTTCCCTCTCTCTCTCTCACTCTCTCTCTGTCTCTCTCTGCTGAGTACACACCCTATAGCAAAAATGAAAAAACATACAAACAACAAGAAAAAAACAAAGCAAGCATAGCAGAGTTGAAAAGCTCTTGGGATCTTGTATTTTTTATTGTAATTTCTAATTGACATACCATCATTTGCATCCTAATTTAATTTAATATATTGTTATTTTTAAATTTAACCAGATAGAAACAGAGAGAGGGAGAAAATGAGAAAGCAAGCTGCCAAGTCTGGGATTCAAACTCCAGTCAGCCGTGTGAGAGTCCAGTGTTTCAACCATCATCTGCAGGCCCCAGGACACTATTTTTTTTTTAAGAATTATTTTATTTAACTTTATTTATTTATCTGTTTGTTTTAATTTGACCAGAGAGGGACGGAGTGAGAGAGAGCACAAAGAGAGAGAGAGAAAGCAAGCTGCCATGTCCAGGACTCCAACTGCGGTCGGCCATGCGGGAGCCCAGCACCTTTAATCAGCATTCCACTTGCCGGCCCGACAGTATGTTTCTTAAAGCGTGTGCACAGTAAAATAACTAAATAAAGGATATACACATAATACCTTCGTAAGTTAATATTTTACATTATTTTGTGCACTTCTGAGGTTTGTCGTACTAGTTTTGTCCATGCCAGGACACTCTCACAGCCTGCTCCCCTTGTTTATACGCACTCTTTTTTTTTGTGAAGAGGTTTTTGCTATGGGGCGCATCCACTCACCAGACAGACAGAGAGAGACGGAGAGACAGAAAGCGAGAAATCACCCCCCCCCAGGGGGGATGGTCACGCCGCAATCCCTTCTCCTCCATTCTCCTCTCGGGATCTTGGGCACGCACACACACACGCCCGGCGTGAGTTTTAAGCCACCGGGTCCGGGATGCGAACCGCAGTCGACTACATGGGAGTCCAGCGACATAGCCATTACACCAACTGCTGGTCCCAACACATTCTTGTACCACTCATTGCGAAAGCAGAAGGACTTGATGCACGGAAATAGAGTAATGGTAAATCCTAGCAGCTGCCCGGTGGGGTGGGCTTCAGGAGAAACCATTGACAGACAAGACGGCAGGTAAACAAGAGCCCCTTTCGGTCCCTTCAGAAGTCACAATCCCTCTTGCGATCTGAGTTGCTGTGGCTTTCAGGTGAGGGTGTGGCAGATCGGCTGCCAGACCCAGAAGCTGGAGGAGGCCCTGAAGGAGCACAAGTCTTCCGTGTCCTGCATCAGGGTGAAGAGGAACAATGAGGAGTGCGTCACAGCCAGCACCGATGGGACCTGCATCATCTGGGACCTCGTGTAAGTGCCGCATGTGGGCTCTGCCGCCCGTGCAGAGCCCAGCCATTCCAGCAGTGCCCTGAATGTGAGCGGACAGTCAGACGGAGTAGAAATCTCACTCTGGGAAACTGGAAAGAGATGTCCCTCCGAAGCCATTTATGCCATTGCTGTCCAGGGTTTGCAGGTGCTGGTGGGAAGGGTGTAGGTTCCAAGATCTGGATGTTGGAAGTTTCTGGAGGGATAGGGAAGTCATGAGAAATGTAATTTAGTTTGCACTAATTCACCTCTAAGAGTTCCGAATTAAAAGGAGCGAGGGAAATCGGTAAGGCAGACAGTTCTTGTCATTTCACTCAGTCAAGAGAAGTCTAGAATTAGGGCTTTAGGTGGCATGGTAATTAAGGTGCTGGACTCCCACATGGCCAACCATGGTTCAAATCCCAGACCTGGCAGCTTGCTTTCTCACTTTCTCTCTCTCTCTGGTGACTGCATGTGCCCTACAGCAAACTTAAAGAAGAAGAATAAATAAAATAAATAATTACTAAAAAACAAAAACAAAACAGGGACCAGCAGTTGGTGTAATGGCTATGTCGCTGAACTCCCGTGTAGTCGACAGTGGTTCAAGTCCTGGACCCAGTGACTTAAAGTCACACTGGGCGCGTGTGTGTGCCCAAGATCCTGAGAGGAGAATGAAGGGATTGCGGCGTGGCCATCCTCCCTGGGGGGTGATTTCTCTCTTTCTGTCTCTCTCTGTCTTTCTGGTGAGCTCACATGCCCTGTAGCAAAACGTCTCAAAAAAAAAAAAAAATCCACGCCCAGCATCAGCTTGCTATGGCCAGGGAGGGCTGGGAAAGAGACATCAATTTGTCCTCCCCCTTAGGTGGCTGCATTCTCAGGGACCTCTTATACTTAGAACAGGTCACACCCCCATAGAATGCTTGACTCCAAACCAACTAGACCAGGAGCCAGAAGGTGGCATAGTGGTTTGGGTGCTGGATCCCACATGGCCAACTGCGTGGTTTGAGTCCTAGACCCGGCGACTTGAAAAAACAGATGGCGTAATGGCTATGTCGCTGAACTCCCATGTAGTTGACCATGGTTCACAGTCCCGGACCCAGTGGATTAAACTCACACCGGGTGCGTGTGCGTGCGTGCCCAAGATCCCAAGAGGGGAATGGAGGAAAAGGGATTGTGGCATGGCCATCCCCCCGGGGGGGTGATTTCTGGCTTTCAGTCTTTCTGTCTCTCTGTCTCTCTCTGTCTTTCTGGCAAGTGTGTGTGCCCTATAGCAAAAAAACTCTCAAAAAAAAAAAAAAAAAGACATGCAGGGCACATGTGCATGCAGGCCCAAAATCCCCAAGAAGGGATTGCCGTGTGGTCATCCTTCCTGGGGGAGAGGGGTGCTTTCTCACTTTCCCTCTCTCTGTCTCTTTGTTTAGTGTAGACACCTTATAGCAAATTCGAGCTAACTGGACCATCGCATGTGAACTTTAATGTAGGAGTAATCGAAAGAATTTTCCTAGGTGACGTTTGAGTTCGTCACTATAAGTATTTCGCTGTGTGTTTTTATTTTCCCTTATCATCCCGCCCCCTCATCACCCGTCTACCCCTCCCGGGACATATTGCCTCCCTATACCTGTGTAAGAGAGACCAGGTAAGTACAAAGCTGGGAATAACGAGCCATAAATGACAAAAGAGTAAGAAATGTTCTTGTCTGGAGAGGAAGGAGTGAGAACTAAAGGCAAAGGCAGAGCATTTTTAGTTAATGTGTTAAAAAATAAAAACCTGGGGACCAGTAGATGGCAGAATGGTTGTGCTGTCACTGGACTCCCATGTAGTTGACTGTGGTTTGAGTCCTGGACCCGGTGACTTAAAACTCATGCTGGGCATGTGTGTGTATACACGCCCAAGATCCTGAGAGGAGAATGGCGGACAAGGGATTGCAGTGTGGCCATCCCCGCTGGAGGGTGATTTCTCATTTTCTGTCTCTCTGTCTCTCTGGTAAGCACATATGCCTTATAGCAAAGATCTCTCTCTTTTTTATTTTTTTGAGAGGTTTTGCTACAGGGCGTGTGCACTCACCAGAAAGACAAAGAGAGAGACAACCAGACAGACAGAAAGTGAGAAATCACCCCCGAGGGGGGATGGCCATGCTCCAATCCCTTCTCCTCCATTCTCCTCTCGGGATCTTGGGCACGCACGCACACGCACCCAGTGTGAGTTTAAGCCACTGGGTCCGGGACTTGAACTGCAGCTGGCTACATGGGAGTCCAGTGATGTAGCCATTATGCTATCTGCTGGTCTCCCGCAAAAATCTTTATTTAAAAAAATTAAAGTAAAAACCTGGAGTCAGCAAGTGGAGTGATGGTTACAGGCACTGGACTCCCCACATGGTCAACTGTGGTTTGAGTCCTGGACCTGGCAGTTTGCTTTCTCACTTTCTCTCTCTGTCTCTGGTAAGTGCACATCTCTATAGCAAATAAAATAATACTAATAAATTATATATCTATATCTATATCTATCTATCTATCTATCTATCTATCTATATAGGAGAGGTTTTTGCTATAGGGCACGTGTGCTCACCAGAAAGACAGAGAGAGACAGAGAGATAGAAAGCGAGAAATCACCCCCCAGGGGGGATGGCCACGCTGCAATCCCTTCTCCTCCATTCTCCTTTCAGGATCTTGGGCATGCACACACACGCGCCCGGCGTGAATTTAAGCCGCCAGGTCCAGGACTTGAACCGCGGTCGACTACACGAGAATCCAGCGACATAGCCCTTACACCAACTGCTGGTCCCAAATAAATATGTATTTTTAAAATCCCAAGCAAGCCTCTGCCTTCTAGCCTATGTGTCTCCAACTTTCACGTGCACATATGAATCACCTGGGGACCCTGTTAGGATGGGGGTTTGACGTAGCAGGTGTAGGGTGGCACCTGAGAGTCTGCATTTTGTTCTTTCTTTTCAATTAATTACTTACTTATTTAATTCCATTTGTTATTATTATTATTTTTTAAGAGAGATTTTTGCTATAGGGTATGTGCGCTAGCCAGAGAGGCAGAAGGAAACAAGAAAGAGCTAGAGAGACAGAAAATCAGAAATCATCTCCTGGGGGAGTATGACCACACAGCAGTCCCTTCTCCTCCATTCTCCTGTCTGGATTTTGGGCATGCACGCACACTCACTCAGTGTGAGTTTTAAGCCACTGGGTTCTGGACTTGAACTATGGTCGACCATATAGGAGTCCCGTGAGGTAACCATTATGCCATCTGTTGGTCCCAGTTATTATTTTTTAATTTAACCAGAGAGAGAAAAAGGGAGAGTGAGAAAGTAGGCCGCCAGGTCCAGGACTCAAACTGTGGTAGGCCATGTGGGAGTCCAGTGCCTTGACCCACCATACCACCTGCTGGCCCCAGAGAGCCTGTATTTCTTTTTTTTAGAAAGAGATTTTTGCAAAAGGGCACATGTACTCAACAGAGAGACAGAAAGCAAGAAATCACCTCCTGGAGGGCATGGCTACATCGCAATTCCTCCTCCATTCTCCTCTGTGGATTTCAGGCATGCACGCATATATACCTGGCATGAATTTTAAGCCACTGGTTCCAGGACTCAAACCACCATTGACTACATGGGAGTCTAGTGATGTAACCATTATACCACCTGCCAGTTCTGAGAGACTATATTTCCAACAAGCTCCTGTGTCTTGACCCTGGTCCAAGGCCCACACTTGTAGAAGGTGTCGGCCTACTCCTGACCTTCCCACTGGAACTATGTAACGGGAAAGGCATCTTAAACCTAATTCCATGGATGGTTTGTGACCGCCTCAAATCTGTAAAGCCTTCCAGTCGCATGTCACAAGTATAATACTGATTTGTGCCAACACCATTAAAAATAGTTGGCTCGGATATCACGCATGAAAACTTCCATAGGAGAAGAAACTGTGCAGAAGGGGCGTTGTTCAGCCAGGAGAGTCTGGCCAGTGAGTTGGCCACAGACCTCACGGTCTATGGAAAGAGAAGTCACATCTATGGATTTCTTCATCTGCTACCTAAGGCAAGGGTTCTCTTGTGCCTGTGATGATCAACTGGGGAACCCGGCCCCATAGCCTAGTGGCTAAGGGAGCCAGATCCCACATAGCTGACCATGAGGTTCAAATCCCAGCCCTGACAGCTTGAAAAACACATTGGGTATGTGTATGTCCCAATAGGATGGCCAAATGGAGAAAGGATTATGGCGTGACCACATCCCAGTGGGGAGGGTGCTTGCTCCCTCTGTCTCTGGCAAGCACCTGTGCCCTCTGGTGATTTAAAAACACAAAAAGAAAGAAGAAAGAGAGAGAGAGAGAGAGAGAGAGAGAAAGCTGGGATGCTGGTTTCAAATGCAAATTAGTGGCCTTCATTCCAACCCACTAAATTCATATCCCTAGAGATGAGGACCAATAATATTCATTTTTTAAAACCCCCGTGTCCCCATGTTGCTGCTTAGCTTGTGGAGAGCTGTACATCCCAGTGGTGACCTCAAGAATAAAGGGCACTGGGACCAGCGATTGGCGTAATGGCTATGTCACTGGACTCCCATGTAGTTGACTGTGGTTCAAGTCCCGGACTTGGTGGCTTAAACTCATGCTGGGCATGTGTGCTTGCGTGCCCAAGATCCCGAGAATGAAGAAAGGATTGTGGTGTGGCCATCCCCTCTGGGGGTGATTTCCCACTTTCTGTCTCTCTGTCTCTCTGTCTTTCTGTCTTTCTGGTGAGCACGCACACCCTATAGCAAAAACCTCTCAAAAACAAAGAATAAAGGGCACTAGTGCAGGCAGGCAGAGAGAGGAGTTCTAGCATTGTAGCACCAGAGAGTAACGATGTCAGTGACAGTTCAGTGGATACTTTCAAATGGAAGAGTAAATGTCGAATGTGTAAATACAAAGCAAGGATACATTCTTTTTATTTTTTTGGAGAAGTTTTCGCTATAGGGCGTGTGTGCTCGCCAGACAGACAGAGACAGAGAGACAGAAAGCGAGAAATCACCCCCAAGGGGGGATTGTCACGCCGCAATCCCTTCTCCTCTATTCTCCTCTCGGGATCTTGGGCATGCACACACACGCACCTGGCATGAGTTTTAAGCCACCGGGTCCGGGACGCGAACCGCGGTCGCCTACATGGAGTCCAGCGACATAGCCATTACACTAACTGCTGGTTCCCACATTCTTGAGATAGTACAAACTAGAAAAAGAATACAGTGCATTATGGGAAGGCTAGCAGGCTGGCTCTGAGCACAGCCTCTTCTACTTCCTTCTGGATGGAATTAGAATTGTCATTGAGTTCTGAGTGCTGTGTTTAGAAAGGGCCCTCTAGGAGTCAGCAGGTGATTAAAGAGGGGACTCCCACATGGCTAATTGCAGCTCGAGTCCCAGACCTGGCAACTTTAGAATCATGGCAGGCATATATGCATGTGTGCCCACAATCCTAGAAGGAGAATAGAGGAGAAGGGATTGTGGTGGAATCATCTCCCCCTTCCCACCCCAGTGATTTCTCACTTTCTCTCTCTCTCTGGCTCTCTGGCGAATACATGAGCCCTATAGAAAAAAATCTCTCTTTAACAAAAGAAAGGAAGGAAGGAAGGAAGGAAGAAAGGAAGGAAGGAAGGAAGGAAGGAAGGAAGGAAGGAAGAAAGGGAAGGGAAGGGAAGGGAAGAGAAGGGAAGGGAAGGGAAGGCAAGGGACGGTAGAAAAGAAAAGAAAAGAAAAGAAAAGAAAAGAAAAGAAAAGAAAAGAAAAGAAAAGAAAAGAAAAGAACACTCCACTCCCACCATCTTGTGATTGCCACTGGTAGGGAGGGCGGGGTTGCCAGAAGCCTATTTGCACTGTGCTAAGCAGTGTGAGGTATTTGGGATAGGTAAACCAACCCAGTCCACTTGTGTACCCATCCAGTCTACAACTTTTTTAGGGAAGAGAAAGTCACGTGTCATAGCTTTGGAATCTACTTGGCAGGCGTCTTAGGAGGAACCAGATGATCCTGGCCAATACCTTGTTCCAGTGTGTGTGCTATCACCCCGAAGAGTTCCAGATCATCACCAGCGGGACAGACAGGAAGGTACGTGCTCCCAGCAAGAGGCAAACTCTTTCCGGTAGCAGACAGACAAGCCACGAAGTCGAGGCCAAGGATGTAGGCTCCAGAGTCCACACACCCTGGCACAGTGATGGTTCTGAGGCTCAGCGGTATGACACTTTGGAAGTGCCAGGTAACCCTTTGGTCCCTTCACTTCCTCGCTGGTAAGATGGACACAATACCACAGATGTCACGGACCCGCCGTGAGGATTGAAGTCGTGCTCACACAGGATGCTAGAGCAGGAAGTCTGGGTGGTACAGAGGAGGGTACTCGAGAGAGATTTTTGGTTTTGTTTATTTTTTTGTTTGCTGGATTTTGTCTTTCTTTCTTTCTTTCTTTCTTTCTTTTTCTTTTTTTTTTTTTTTGCCATAGGGAACTTGAACTCGCCAGTGAGAGACAGAGAGAGACAGAAAGACAGAAAGTGAGAAATGACCCCCCAGGGGGATGGCCATGCTGCAGTCCCTTCTCCTGTATTCTCCTTCTTGGATCTGGGGCATGCGTGCACAAGCAACCCGTGTGAGTTCCAAGCCGCCAGTTCAGGAACACAAACCTTAGTCATTCCTGTGGGAGTCCAGGGACTTAGCCAACCGCACTACCTGCTGGCTCGAAATGGGGTTTTTTATGATGAGCAAATTTACGAGGTCGGAACAGACCTGCTTTCCCCAAACTGGTGGTCACTTTGACTAAATTCAAATGGAAAGACAATGGAGTTTCTCATCTCTTATCACAATACTTCATCAATATATTAATCTCTGCAGCTTGCTAGTCCGTGTCCTTGGGTGGACCGGCCCTTCTGTTTCGGGGGGACATTTCCCGTTGGAGCACGTGAGAGGCTTCAGGACAAAGACACGTGGAGGGGGAGATGTGAGGGTGTTCACCCTGCCAGCCACATCGGATTAGCCAGATTGTGGCCTAATTACCAGCACATCCAATTAGTGAACTGTGTGTGTGTTTACAAATTTTCATTATCTTTTTTTTTCCTTTAAGGTTTTGCCATAGGGCACGTGCGCTCAGCACAGACAGTGAGAGGGAACATGAGAAATCGCCCCCTAGGGCAAATAGCCACACTGCAGTCCCTTCTCTCTTTATTCCTTGGGATTTTGGGTACGCGTGTGCGCGCGCACACACACACACACACAAACCCAGTGTGATTTTCAAGCCAATGGGTCTGGGACTCAAACCTCTGTTGGCTATGTGGGAGTCAAGCATCTTAACTACTGTGCCACTTGCTGGTCCCTGAAATTCTCGTTATTCATTATCTTTTTCAAATTTTATGTATTTATTTCTTGCATGAATGAGTGAAAAAGAGAGATCTCAGAGAGAGAGCTAGATAACACTAATAGGGCCTTTAAAAATTTTTATAAAGAATTATTTATTTAATTTTCCATATTATCATTATCATCATCATTTTTATCATTTTAATTTGCTATAGGGCATGTGTGTTCGAGGAAGAGAGAGAGAGAGAGAGAGAGAGTAAGAAAACAAACTGCAAGGTCTGGGACTCGAACCATGGTTGGCTATGTGGGAGGACATTGCCTCAACTACCATACCACCTGCTGGCCCCCAATAAGGTCTTGGTGCTGCAATCTACCCCCAGCTTCAGCTAACTCCGGATCGTGGCCAGTGCATGCTGGGGTCAGTCACAGAGGTCTCTGGACATGAACTTGGAACCTTCCCACGTGGGTTAGCCTCACAGATCTTTTTTACTGTTGTACCACCAACCGGCCCCAATGAATGAACCTGGAGTCCCTTTAGACTTTGGAAAGACTGAGAAAATTGAAGAAGCAGCTACATTTTTATGTTTTTACCACCGACAAGAAAAGCTGATGGCATTAAAAGTATTAAAGTATTGTGGGAAAATACTAATGGTGCCTTCCACCTACTCACACCCACCCCCCCCCCCCCCACCCCCCTACCTCCACATGAGAATCTGGGATTGGGCTTTTTCCTGTTTAAGTTTTCTAGGTGATTGGGAAACACTTGGTCATAAAAATCCAAGAAATGCTGCCTGGTCCATGCCAGGATGTGCCTGACACTCGCGTTTTAAGGGTCAGCATGGAAGTCTGCCTCGATTGTAGTCTTTGAAGACTGTCCAAGCCAGTGTCTTCGTGTCTTATCAGCCCAACTTGGCTTATGCCTGTCCACCCCTCACACGCATGTTTGGCTTGTGGTGTAACTGGGCTTCCTCTTAGAACTGGGATGGGATGGATATTAGGGACTTAAGCACAAGGTCACTCTCGAGGCTTGATATAAAGTTTCTAGATTAGCGTGGTATTGGCCTTATTTTAGGTTTAGGTTATGAGACTCAAAGCAGTCTATTTTTCTTTTATTTAAAATGTCACTAGGGCATCCTGCAGGTGGCATGGTGGCTAAGGGTACTGGACTCCCACATGGCTGAGCATGGTTTGAATCCCAGACCTGGAGGCTTGCTTTCTCACTTTTCCTTTCTTTCTGTGAGTGTGTGTGTGTGTGTGTGTGTGTGTGTGTGTGTGTGTGTATAACTATTAAAATAATAATAATAAATAAAGTTAAAGAAAATAATTCCTTAAAAAAAATCACTAGGGAGGCCAGCAGATGGCATAGCGGTTACATCACTAGACTCCCATATGGCTGACTGCAGTTTGAAGCCAGGACCAGGGGGCTTTAAAATCATGCCAGGCACATGTGCATGCATGCCCACGAGGAGAATGGAGAAGGGATTACTGCATGGTCATCCTCTGGATGGGTGATTTCTCACTTTCCCTCTCACTGCCTCTCTATCTTTCTCTCTCTCTCTGGGAAGCACATGCATCTTAAGGCAAAAACCTCTTTTAAAAAAATGTGACTGGGGGCCAGCAAGTGGT